GCCACTGCCAGTGCCAACGTCACTGCTACTACTACTGCGGGTTCTCCTACTACTGGCGACCACCACCACCACCACCACCACCAATGCACACTACAGGCGAAACAGCGAAGGCAGGATTCCGAGCATTGACAGAAACCCCAGGGTTTCTACTGCTGATGGTGCCAGCATCTACAGTAACCGTACTTGGTATTCACTCTTAATCACTTCTTCCTTGACAAGTAGTGCTCCTGACGCTATATGCAAAAGCCCTGCAACATCCATAAATTCTAGGTGGAACTCGGCACAGACTCCCGAACAAATCTATGTCCCATCGCCGTGCATCTTGACTCTTGGGTCCGAAGTGACTTCAAACAAATGCGCTCTTTCAGAGGCGAGGGTTGTCTTGTACTGCGGAAAACCGGCATGGAAACATAGAAATTCGAAGACAGACTCCAGAGCAGCCCCTGATTTAAGGTACATGTTATTATATATATATATATATATCTGTGTGTGTGTGTGTTTATTTATTTATTCACTCATTCATTTATTTATTTATTTTGTTTATTTACCCATGTTGTTTTGTGTTGTTTGTTTTCGCTATTTGTTCGTTTGCTGATGTCTAGTTTGTGTTCATCTGTAATCATGGAGGCCTAAGACTGGCCTTGCTGGCTGTGGCTGCACCCATTTCGATGAGATGGGCGGAGCGAACCACGAACTCCTGCAAGAGGGAAAGGTTTAGTTGCAGGGCCCCCTCAACCCTAAACCCTATACCCTAACCCCTGAACCCAAGTTTAGGCCTTAGGTTTAGCTGAACCTTCACGCCATATCTCAGAAAACACGCCCCTGATGCCTCAAAAGCCCCCGAAAGCCCCAGCGCTGGAGTCCCCGGATCTCTGGAAGACTTAGGACCCAGCATTCCCCAGAGCCGAGGCCCAGAGCCGAGGCCCAGAGCCGATTGTGGCGTTTAGGAACGGAGCCGACATGGGACTTTCCGAAAAGAAGGGGTACCTTATTATTTTGGGGTCCTTATGGTAAGGATCCCACTATTTAGGGTACTATGTTCGGGTCCCCTGTTTTCGGAAACCCCCAAAAGAGTTTCAAAACAGTCCCGAAAACCTCTACAAGCCACAACAGAAGCCCTCAATCCCGCAACACCAAGTTGAAGACCCTCAACCCGACCACCCAAACCTTAGCTGAAGCCTACGCCATCGTCGTAGAGTCCTGAACGGAGTCCTGAGCACTGAAAGCCTACACCATGAAGTCCAAAAATGCCCCGTAGTCCTCAGCCCCAAGCCCTATGTTTTTTGTGTTTTACGCCCTGTCGGGTATCGGGCATGGGGCATTTATTAAACGCACTCTCTCGGAGAACCCTAAAACCCCGCCGCGACTCCTCTCTCTGGTTCTTCGTAGGGAATGGGGGAATAGATCCCTATGATAGTCCCTTCAGGTCCCTTATAGTGGTCCCAAGAAGCCATTCCCCCCACCCTAAACCCTAAACCCTTACTGTCCCTTAAGGTCCCAATAAGCCATTCCCCCATTCCCTACGAAGAACCCGAGAGTCCTTAAAGAGCCGCTCCCGGATTTCTCTGCTCGACGGCTCGGCACCTGATTTGGTCGTAGATAGGGTTTAGGGTTTAGGGGCTTAGGGGTTTAGGGTTTAGGCTTTAGGGTTGAGGGGTTTAGGGGTTTAGGGTCTAGGGTTGAGGGGTTTAGGGTTTAGGTTTCGTAGAAAGGCAGGTGCCAATCATCGAAAGATACAAATAACTAGTAGGAATATTTCCTGCAGGGGGTCCATAAGTGCTCTATAGCCTATAGGGGTTCAGGCGCCTTCGTACACAGTAAAGGTCTGAAGAAATGCTCAATGAATCCCCTTACATTCGGTTTAAAATGCGCGGGAAGAGCACTTATGCCCCAGAAGTGCACTGTACACTGCTCTTCCTTGATCACGAAAACCCCTCTCTAAGGACCCGCAAGGACCTTAACCCCAGCCCAACGACTTCCGCAACCCCCGAACCCTGACCCGAGAGGCACCTGCAAAGCACTTGAATCTTTGAATCTCAAATTCTTTGCTAAGAAGGCCCCGCAACATAGCACAGTTTGTAAATTCAGTATCTCTATCTATCTCTATAACCGCTGAATATATCTATGTACTTATACATCTGCATAGTATCTAGCCATGTAACTGTATCTAACTATCTATGTGCATGCGTAGTTCTTCTGTATGATGCTAAGGTCGGAGCCCACGGGAATGAGCTTCCTCAAGGCATCGACGTCGACCTCTTGCCGCTGCTCTGACATTGGGGCTTCGTGGGTCTGCGGTTGATGCTTGGGGTTCAGGGGGTTTAAGTGCACGGGCCTGGGGAATTCTATGTAGCCTTCGGGCCTTGCACGGCCCTTCTAGCGCTTTAGAGATGGAAGCTGCCGGGTCGTTTCTCGAGACTTGAAGGCGTCCAGGGCGTAGGGCTTAGTCCGAGTTTTTGCCGAAACCGCCCGAAACCCTAAACCTGGGCGTGATGCGAAGTGCAACAGGAATGAACTTCGGCATGAAGCTAAAGATCGATCACTACTAGGAAGACGAAGCCGCTAAAGCTTGCAGGACGTTTAGGAGTTTTTTGGCTCCCAATCCGTGAACCCTACATGTCTGGCATGGTTGCTGAAACTTTTAAGCAAAGTACGGCCCGGAAAGAGTCTGGCAACTTGATGGCTGAACTTCAGATTTCCGTCGACACGCTTCAAGGATCATGAATGTAGGGGCCTAAATAATTACCAATACTATTTTGGGGGTTCCTTATTATAGATATAGTATGATAGAGTATATTGGGCCCCAAAACCCTATTCTCATTAGTAAGGTCCCTATAATTAATTGATTTTGGACTCTGGCAACTCGCAAACATTCTAGGCGAGGCTGTTCGGTTCGCAGGGGCATGGTCACCCTCGGCCTGAAACCCTGTAAGCCCGTGTGAACCGCATCTTCAGCCCAACTTCTCAAGGGCTGTACGTATTTTGTCACGACTTCCCAGAAACAGCACCAACTCCGAGACAACACACCCCGAACAAACTCCTCACCGTGCTAGCCCTGAATCTTTGCCTCGGTCCTTGCACTCATGGCCGATGCCTGCGAGCAGTCGGTAGCGCTCCTCCCTGCTTCGCACCCCGCTCTCGAGGTTTTAGGGTTACCTCGCTCGACTCAGCCAGCCAGATGGGAGGGACCGGAATATCATATTTCGGACTACCAACCCCACATAGCAGGATGCTTGACAGATTGGCACTCAACAACCCGAGCCCTAGCATCATGCAGACGGGCCAAGACTGCCCAATGAAGGCTTGCAAGTGTGAACATGTCTCGGCCCAGCAAAACCCCCCAAGCCCCAAAGGGGCTATATCCAAAGCTAATGTCAGAACCCTGCCTGGATGCTGCTGGGCCAGTTGCACGGAGCGGCTTCGCCCGCTGGGTCCCAAGCTATATTCGCCACTCCAGGAACTTTGTCCTGCGATCTGCCTGGTAGTAAGCTCTGATGGAGGAATTGTGAGAAATAGAGGCAGCCAGATAGACACATGGGGGGCTTAGTGAGGAAGTGTAACTGGGGCGGGCCGAGACAGCAGCGGCTTGAGCCAGCGTGGCGCGGCAGAGATCCAGGTGATCTAAGCGCAGGCCCAAGAGGAACCTCGAGAGTCAGACAACACCCTAATGAAGGAATACTTACACCTTGAAAATTCATGGCATCAGATAGAAGTTTATGGCATTCTTCACGAATGAGGGGGGTATTGGACTCTCTGGGCAAGGTTTGATTTTTCTCTCGTCGGAAGGGCTTCCTAAGCTGGCGGAGGGCGCAGAAGCTTCGGGTCCCGTGTTCCGTGCAACCGGAGCCTCTGCTCAGGAGTGGTAGGGGTTTCGGGCTTATGGTTCGTCCCGGAACCCTAGACCGGAGGCTGGGGGGGAGGGCCAGTTATGAACCTGGAATGAAACGACGGTCCGCGAATGTGGACGGAAGGGATAGGCCGGGCCGTGGATCTTCAACGCCCAAAGTGAAGCCCAACTGCACAAACGCAGCACGAAACCCTGAAACTCAGGAGTCCTCTCTCTGACTTACCTCAAGTTTACAAATAAGTGTGAGGAGTGCTTTGAGGGCTTCCGGTCTCGAGGGACTTCCTGGAGCTTAGATATACATGTGTCTGTATAAATATATATATATATATAGAGAGAGAGAGAGAGTGTATATATATATATACATGCTATACTCTAGACATGTACACAAACAAACAGATAGATAGATGGATGGATAGAAAGAATAGATAGGTAGGCAGGCTGTAGGTCGGTAAGGCAGATAGGTGGGTATGTACCATGTAGACACCACGATGAAAGCTTGACACAACCGTGCAAACGGTGCGGATGTGGGACAGGGGTGGAGTGGATCTCAAGCCTCGAAGCTTTCGAGTTGCGGGAAGCTCCCGGCACTCGGTTGTCGAGGTTTCGTCGTTTTGGTGCAGGGTTTCGGCCTTTGCGTTCGAAGTCTAGGGTTTAGGTGTGCTCTTGGGGTTTAGGGCCTGTTTAGGGTTTTGGGCATGCTTAGGGTGTAATTAGGTGATGCTTTGCGCGCGATCAGTTGCCAAGCTAGGAGACTGTACACCTAGCATACACACACAAAAACATATATACATATATATATATATATGTTTTTGTGTGTATACGTATAAGCACAGCGCAGGCATGCAGCAGTCTTCGCTTAGGAAAGCTGCTGAGCATATTCACGACACAGCCTGCGCTCAAGATAGCATGATCCGTCGCATCTTAACATTTGCAACCTTATTACGACCCCAACGGCATAAACCATCCGGTGACCTGCTTTAACGCGCTTCGCAAGGTTCTGCTTCCAGGTGCTGTCAAGTCTTCCTGTCCTTCAGAAAACCCTAAACCCTAAACCCTAAAACCCTAAAACCCTAAACCCCCAAACCCTCAACCCCTAAAGCCCTAAACCCTAAACCCCTAAAACCCTAAACCCTAAAAGCCCAGCAAGGCGAGCCTGCATGATGCTGCCTCGGTAGGACGGGATCACCTCCTGCATGCACGGCTTTGGGTTTAGGGTTCAGGGTGTCATGACGACATTTCGGCAAGACAGAGAAGCAGGATTTTGGGGTTTGAGAGTTTGCATCATCATACTTTTGAGCAGGTGGAATCCTACTTCATCGAAGCTCTCCCTAAGGGAGTGTGGGTGCAGAATGCGCGGTCTTGGGCGCGATTGCCAGTCCCTCGGATCGGCTGAGGCTCTGGAGTCTCTGCCGTGGGCAGCAGAAGCAGCTGATGCTTCCCGATTCCCGAAAGGTGCCGAAAGGGTTTGAGAGTTTTCTGGGCCGGGAGGTTTAGGCGTTTTGGAATCAGGGTATTTAGAGCGTAGGGTTCAGCGGGCTCTTCCTGCTCGTTCTTTTGAACAACAGGATTGACATCAGGTGTTCTGCGACACTTCCCCACAGATGCTTGAGCGACTCAGACCAACCAGGAGCCCATACCTAAGCCTGAAGCCCGAAACCCTAACCCCCTAAACCCTACCCTGAACCCGAAGCCCTAAACCCTAAACCCTCAACCCTAAACCCCAAAACACCAACCTCTGCGACCCAAGCGGTCCGGATCAAAGCTCTCAGCACTCAACCCAGGGGCCCCCCCAAGCTCCCCCTTAACTGTCCATGAGTCCATCTTATGCAATCCGACGCTCTTGAGCCGGTGGCCCTCTACTATGGCTTTTGGGCTTAGGGTTTTTGGGGTTTCGGGTTTAGCTGCTACTTCTGCTACCCCTCTCGACCTGCACTCTGATACTCAATGATACCCTCAAATCCTCGTGCCCTTCGCCCTAGACCTGTATGACCAAAAAGGGCCATATCACTCCACTCCCAAGCCATGTCTGCATGAAGTCTCAACCGTATGGGGCCAAGCTTTACCACTCTGAACTGGGAGACCTCTGAACCGCCAACCATAGCCCTACACTAAGACCCAAATCACAACTTCAGGCATCGAAGCCACAACAAAAGCAATAAGTCTCAACACGAGAACAGTAGCCCGGTAGCAGCCATGTGAACAGATCATCACGGTCACAAGCATATTACCACCAAAAGCACAGCTCTCAAAGCCTAAATCCTCCGTAACACCAGATCCCAGTCCTCCAAGGCTTCACGAGTCACGCAGTCAAAGGGATCAGTTTTCACTGTAGTTCCAGCGGAGTCCTGTGCCCGGGGTGGCTTTCAGATAGCTCATGCATGACAGGGGCTGACGGTTTCGGAAATGAAGTATGATTCACAGCGAGAAGCCTAAAGCCTTGGTCCACGACCCGGTCCAATTACTGATCTAGCCATAGCATTTGATAACCGAAGCACAAGTCAAGAGAACCTCCACTGGCGGTGACGATTCTTCGTGTTCCGTTCGCCTGCTGGCTGCAGAACCCCGACGGATGTGAAGAGATGCATTCAGGCTGTCCTGCGTGTCCGTCTCAATACCCATGCGCACAGTGGCTTGGTATGTCTTGCTTCCATGGAGGAAGTTCTTCCTGGCCGCGTCGCATCGCATGCACTCTGAAACTCCCATGTCGTGGCATCACGACGACCATAGGCAGTCTGCAGGAGAGTCTCGCCGATTACCCCTGGTGAAAAGTCTGAGCCGGCGCACAGCATCCGCGTCCCAAGTCCGATGCCGATCACGAGGACCTCGGACCGTGGGAAAGTGAGGCTGAGGCCACTCACACATCCTGCCTAGACGAAGCACAAACCCAAGCTCTTACGTCTTAGGGCTGCTAAGGTCTTGACATGAATGTTCGATGGCTGTGCAAAACGGGTCACGATTCCTGCGTTACGGCGACAGCAATCATCACTTGCGCAAGCCTTGCCGCCTGCAGCACAGAACCTAGCTTGCTTCGCTTCAGACCTCTCAACCGTATATCGTCGTGGACCCGAACTCTAGGCAGGACTTGCTTTCGATGCCGACCCACCTCCGGTCCAAAAACGCATGTGAACATATGCGTACTGTGTATGGGCATGTGGTTGCACATAGATATGCATGCATACATACACACAAGCACATACACCTCCGTATGCAATGCCTGCGGACAAACGAACCCACAAACAAGCAAACAAACAGGAAAACAAACAAACGTACATACACACATACACATACAAACATACAAACAAAGAAACAAACAAATAAATAAACAAACATACAAACAAACAAACAAACATACATACATACATACATACATACATACATACATACTTACATACTTACTTACTTACTTACTGACATATCTTACATACATATCTTACATACATATCTTACATACATATCTTACATACATATCTTACATACATATCTTACATACATATCTTACATACATACATACATACATACATACATACATACATACACACATACACGTACATACCTAAACACCTACCTCAACACTTACATACATACATCCATGCATGCATGCATGCATGCATGCATGCATGCATAAATGCATACATACATACATGCATACATGAACACATGCATACATACATGCATACATACATACATTCGCGCATGCATGCATGCGGTGTTGTTCAACCTTGGAGGCTCTGCCGCAGCAGTGACGGGGAACTGAAGACTATCCAACGACAGTCCATGAACCTAAGAATCTAATCTGAAGCCCCGAATACACAGTACCATACGGTACTGTGGGAAGTTTTCTTTGGTCCAAGTGCGCGACGCCAGAGGCAAAAGGATCCAACGTCCCGCCATGGCCAACCTAAAGAGTCGTCAACTGCGTAGTGTTTGAGGTTTAGGGAGCATAGAAATTCACAATGAAGGTTGTGCTGCTGGTGCTGCTATTGTATCTAGAAACCTAGTTGTAACTGCTTCCGCGACTGCTGCTGCTGCTGCTGCCGCACAGGCCCTGTGCCTCGTTCGCCAAACCAAATCCGACAGATGCACAAGTCAACTGATGATGGAAAGATCGGAGACACAACACTAAGAGCCACAGGAAAACATAGCACGGACACCAATGCCTGTGACAGGACCAGGAAACCCCGATACCCTAAAGCCTCTAAACCAAATTTCTAAACCCCAGCTGAAGGAGCACAGGGCGCGCCGGGTTTGAAGCCGTGTCAAACGGGCTTCAAACAGAGATAGGATTTCAGCTTGCCCCTCTCAGAGTCTCGCCAGCTCAACCCCACGCGTGCAAGCAAAGAGAAAACCCCGAGCGCCTGGACCCCAAGCTGCGTTGAGGCGGCCCCTAATTGACGACGACTACTACTACCAGCTTAGATCGAACCCTCTGAAGACAAACCACGTCTGACCTTCGTCGCAGCACCTCCCAGACGACTCATGACCTCAGCAAGTGGTGTGTCAGGGGTAGCAGTAGGAGCAGGCCGTAGCAGGAATCGTAACCGTCGGGGTCAAGAGCTGCAGAAGCAACGGTAGCCGATGCAGTGAAATGGGCAGCAGCAGCGGTAGCGATAGTAGCAGTGGCAGCAGCAGGAGAATGCATAACAGTAGCAGTAGCAGCAGCAGTATCAGTAGCAGCAGCAGCAGCAGGAGGAGCAGGAGCGGGCGCGGGCGCAGCGAGGAGCAGGAGGAGCAGTAGCAGCGGCAGCAGTAGCAGCAGTAGCAGCGGAGGCAGCAGTAGCAGTAGCAGGAGCAGTAGCAACAGTAGCAGCACCACCAGTAGTAATCCTTGTCGTAGCAGAGTAGTCCTAGTAGTAGTCGTCGTCGTAGCAGCAGCAGTAGCAGTAGCAGTATCAGTACCAGTAGGAGCAGCAGTAAGAGCAGCGGTGGTCGTAGTAGCCGCAGTAGTAGCCTCCGTCGTAGTTGTAGTTGTAAGGCACATTCCCCCGTCGAATGCGAAGGCGTTGTCGTAGCCGCAGTCGTCGTTGTCGCGGTCGTCGTCGTCTTATTGGTGTAGCGTATGTTGTTCTTCTTGTAATTAAATAGCTAGCTAGGAGTAGCAGCAGCACATGAAGTAGCAGAGCAAGAGTAATACCATTACCAGCAGACCCCAAATGCACGAAGCTGCAGTGTCGCTTCAGTGAACCGCTGCCTGACCGCGGCCAATCTGCTTGGAAACCTATCAGATGTGAACCCTGGACCCTTGACTGCGATTTGGGCCGCCGGCTGCCTCAAGGACAAGCGCCACGACATCCTGTCATGCACTACGCTATTGAAATTGCATCAGGTGTTGACGAGTGTGGCTTTGAGGTGTGGATATTAGGATTGCGCAGTAGAGGCATCCCTCAAGAAAGCTCGGGATCTTAAGAAGTATGTATTTGCTGGGCGAGGGATTTCAAACTTTGGAGTCTCGGGCAGTTCAGAGTTTGCTAAGATTTCATAGGGCAGACTCACCATGGAAATAGACTTAGTCAGCCCTTGACCCGGACCCTAACGCCAAGCCCTAAGAACCAAGAATCCTAAGCCGAAGAGCCCAAACCCCCAAAGCCAGAATTTCACCTGCGCCCCGCCCCTTTAAAGACACTCAACAAGCGCTCGGCTCTTGCTTCTGCCGGAAACCCTAAACGCTAAACCCTAAACCGTGAAACAGGCCGGAGCAACTGCGGAAGTGGGGCCTGAACCAGGCAGGGGCTATCTGCTTGTGGTTTAGGGCTTCAGGGTTTAGGGTTTAGGGTTTAGAGTGTTGCTTGGGGTTTAGGGTTACCCGTGACCTGAGATCAGCCTTGCCTTCTCATCTCTATCTCTAGGTCATATCGTGGCCTGAGTTTGTAAACTTAGAACCCAGAACACTAGGAACAATCTTGGTAACTGTTTCGGCTTCTAGAACAAACCGACTGAGCCTGCTTTAAGGAATGGTCGCCAGCGTCTACACCATTACGCTCTGCTCTGGAAGATCGAGAAGCCGACTCTCGAAGTTCGGAGAGGGATTGTGTCAGATCCAAGAGTTAGGGATGTTTAGGGTTTAGGGATGACAGTCTCAATATTAGTGCGGTTCAGGTCAGGTTCGGGGGAAGCACGGCCTCCCTCTTCCTGCATGTCGAGGGCTTATAAGGTTTTAGAGCTAAAGGTTCCAGCCAAGATCCTGCTCAGAAGGAATGTATCGACCTCGGGTTGGCTAGAAGGGTTCAGGGCCCTTGGGGCTTGTGCAGCCACCTGAACCAAACCCGACCCCAATCTGCACACAATCCCCGACTCTAAAACTCATCCTTGAACCCTAAAACAGTCGAAAGCTCAATCTTGAATCCTCCAATTTTGCGGTCATAGGTTGAACATGGCGCCCTAAGGCCTGAACCCATACCAAGCATTACTAGATTCAATTAGGGGTCCATGTTTCAGAGGCGTTATATATGAAAAAGGTTATCCGTCATGTAGGGTCGATGTTAGGGTTCACTGAAACTCCAAGGCAGCAGAAGCACCGGCAGTCTGCTGTGACGGGCCTTCCGGCTTGTCCACCTGAATTAGCCGGTGCTCGCTCTTAACCTCTGAAGGGTTTGGGGTTTAGGGTTTAGGGTAAGATGCCACCTAAACGGTAAAACCATACAACTAGCTCTCCATCTGACCGCGAGTGCGTCTGTGCAGGTGCGTGCTATACATTATATGTATACCCTAAGCCTAAGCCCTGGAAACCCTAAACTATGCCCAAAATGTGCTTGTATATAGACATGTGTATACCCTAAACCCTAAATCCTAAAACCCTAAACCCAACTTAGGTTTTATATAGACTTGCCCGAAACCCTGGCATCCAGGACTCTGTTCGCCAGCCGGGAAAGCGCAACATTCAAAAGGTAAGATTACAAATCAAGCTCTCATAGCAAACGCTACTACTCACGCATCTCTCAATAGATTTCTGAGAAGCATAAACCTGCAATCAAGTTTGCCCGAAACCCTAAACCCTGAAACCCAAAATATGCTTCTATAGACATGAACTCAGGGCCTGCTCCTGACCCTACTTGCAAGGCTCCACAGCTCCCTCCCCTCGACCTCCCAGCCACTGAAACCTGGCACTGCCACTGCTATTCCTCAGGGTGCCTTCTTGTAGACGATATTACAACTAAGATGTAGCAGGATCTTAGTTGCAGCATAATATCAAGGACAGTGCTAACATACTCCAAAGCCACGGTGTGCAGCCACCGGCTTCAAACACAGGCCAAAGTGTTTAGACTCGGGTTGCCTGGAGGCGTGTATGGACATGTTGATACCGGAATCCCCTAAGTTTTGAGAAAACCTATATAAACCTAGACCGGCCAAGAAAGTGTTCTAGGCTTCGGGTTCAAAGTTAGCCAGGAGCCAAGTACATAGGACCCAATTGGAGCACCGCATGGTGAAAGCAGTACGCTGTGGGAGCATCCACATGACATGCTGTATTCGTGTCCAGTCTTTGCAGAAACCGGCGGATGTTGATTCCTACAGATGACTCAGGTGCGCTTTCCTTTGTGGGAGATTTACAGGACCACACAGGACCAGTAGTAGTACAGAAGCAACATCGGCCCGATCACGAAGTCCATGCTTCTTGGCCCTACTACAACGAAAGAAACATTTGGCACGAGCCTAACACGGACCAAAGCTCCGTGCAGGGCTCCTTGGGTTTAGGATAGCTTGGACCCTGTTTTCTGGATCCTCAACCTTAAGAAGGTAAACCCTAATACCCTAGGACCCTTATTTTTGCAGCAGGACTTGTGCAATGGACACAAATACCCTAAAACCCTGAAGCCTAGAGCCCTAAAACTCTAAAACCCTAACACCCTAAAGCCCTAAAGCCTGGAGCCCTAAAACCCTAAAGCCCAGAGCCCGAGGAAGCCAATCTGAGGCTGGGAGGCCCGACCGCGAAGACTCCTCCCCTGGCCTCGGATAAAAACTTGGAACAAAGGTCCCGTTTCAGGGACCTAAAAACCCTAAACCCTAAAACCTAAACCCCAAAAGGAGTCGGTAAAAGTGTCGCAGGGGGCCTACATCTGTTACCAGGGTTCATTAAAAGAACTTCAATGAGGGACCTATTAGGGCTCATTAAGCAGGACGTCCGGAGATCCGTCAAGGTCATTTGCGCTTGGGTTGGGGTTGGGCATAGACGTGGCATGATGTAGCTAAAGTTACTCTAGTTACCTAGCCAAAGACCTAAACTTCCGAAACCCTAGACCCTAGTTACTACATTTTCGGATCCTGCAAGTACGAGACTCTGAACCCGCCCGGCGGGGGGATTCTTGGAGAATCTGGGGCTCGGAAGTAGGCTGTAGAACTAGGATCATCAGGAGTCAGGACTGTTTGGGGGGAAGGGCCTTCTGAATGGAGTTATATGGTTCAAGGTTGAGGTATTCACCGGAGGGCGAAGTCCGACAGGGAGGAGACTGCGAGGGTCATGAGTGCGGCTTCTCTTGTGGAGTTCTCCCCTCGCGAAAACGACTTAGCGAAGTCATATTTGAGAAGCCTGAGGCCTTAGGCGTTTTGCGGCAACCACCGGCTCAGCTAAAGGAAAACGTGCCTATTGATGTCATACGTCAGCGGCATCCTCTCATGCCAGCGTCAAACTACAAACCAAGAGCTGCTACTGATGCTGCTGCTGCCGCCGCTACACCAAAGCAGGAGAAGGAAGAAACAATCCTTGTGGATGACGACGCGGGCGGTGACGATGATTCTGCTGATGAGTGCAGAGCTTAGGATGACGCAGGTGATGGTAATGCTGCTGCGTGGATGCTGTAGGGTTGGCGCGTGCCATGACGATTGAAGAGCAGCCGTCTGATTACAAAAAACTGCAGGGCCAAGATGCCAGCTGCTCCGAGGTGGCATCGAGAGTGCGCCGACGCCTTTTCGGATCCAATGGGCTCGCTTGGGACTGGGATCCTTTGATTCGAGGTCTGGCTCGTGAGTTCATCAACCCTTTCTGAACCCAAAAATCAATTCCGTAAGACATAAATCACCAAAACCGGACACCAAAGCCAAAACCGTAAATCCTAAACCCAAACCCCCCAAGACCGAAGACTGCCAGCGTTGACCCTAGTGACGAAGCTTCGGGGTTGCGATTCTTGGCTGGGTTCTTGCTGAGGAACTGAATTTAAGTCACCAAAACGAGCAGTCCCTTGTTTTAGGTCCCGCAAATGGTACGGAACCTTCATAAAACGGCCGTTAAGAAGGGACCCTAATTTGGAGAGCTACCCAACTAAGGAACCAGGAGTTCTTGGGTTCGTGAGGTAGCGGGGATTCAGGGGCTTCGAGGAGAAGAGTCTACAAAATAGAGGCCAGAAGACTTCGTAATGCTCTTCCTTAGGATTAGGTTCCTTACTATACTCCCTAAGCCGAAACCCTAACTCTTGTTACGGAACTTCTAGAGAGATCCCTTTGAAAAAGGGGAAAGCTTACAAGGAGCCCTCCTACGTTTTGGCAGGACCCTTTCTTTGAGGGGATGAGCTTGTGGGGTTCGAGCGGATGTCGCGAGTGGGTGCCACCAACAATACCTACTGTTGCTATTGCGGCTGCTGTCGCTGTTGCTTTATATTTATGGTTAAATACCGTTCTTCGCATCACAGCTGTGATAAGCCATCTTGGTGCATGTTGCTTCTACTCGTGCATGACTCAGCGCCTTCGTCTTTGCCGTTGCAGGTGCGGTGGTGTCAGAATAACGACACTGTGGGCGGCGGTGGCGAGGATGGTCAAGGAGAGCAGGTACCGATGGTGATGATCTTGATCATGGTAATGAATGTTCATGATGAGGAGCTCATTTTGGTGGTCCCGATTCTTAGTATTGCTGCTGCTGTTGATTTTTGCAGGTGGGGTGCATGTTGTTTCCCATCATCACCACCACTGATTCCGGCGGTTTGTTGCATCCAGCCCGGTTAGAGCTATAACCGCCCGTGCCCCGGCTCACCGGAACGGCAAGTTTCGACGCGGAAGAGCAGTCTTAAGTGGCCGAGGTCGTTCAACTGGGCTGAGAAGTAATTACAGTACAAGGGTGCCCCTCCTACTCCTTAGCTTGCTCTGTTCCCACTTGAACAGGTTCTGTAAAGGAACCCCTTGTTTTGATCAAGCCCCAATATTATTCGGGGCATGAGCCCCCGAAGCACACTTTGTAGGGGTAGCCGCAGTAGCCTTTTCTCCCGCCGCGATCCTTGAGCCCTCTCAGGAAACAATCTCAACAGAGACTCTTAAGTATAAGCCCTACTCGCAGCACCCCACAGCATTTAGGGTTTTTGGGTTTAGGATGTTTAGGTTACAGGTCGCGGCTCTCGCTGGGGTTTGACGGGCAAGGTGTCTAAGCAACGAAGGTTGTGCTGGCTTCCTCCGAGGGAACCCAAACATCTCTCATGCTTTTCTGAAACTAGGCTCTTCACATCAACGGCATGATCTGCCATAACTTTGAAGAGGAGCCCTCAAGATGGTACTGCAACTTAAACCCTAAACCATAAACCGCAAAACCCTAAACCCTAAACCCCTAAACCCTTTTTTGCTTAAACCCTAAACCTTTTGCCCTTAAGCCCTAAACCCCAAATCCCTAAACCCTGAACCCTTAAGCCCCAAGCCCAAGCCCGTTAGAACTTCCGAGCAGATCCGGAGAGGCTCTCACTCGCCATCATCCACCTGGCTGCTGGGGGCTTTCGGGCGTTAGCGCTTTTAGGGTGCAGTTGGGTTTTAGCTTGTTAGGCCTGGGTTTTTAGGGGTTTGGGTTAGTGGGTTAGGGGGTTAGGGTGTTAGTGTGCAGTTGGGTTTTTGGGCTTGTTAGGCCTGGGTTTGTTTAGGCTTTAGGGGTTAGGGCTTTGTTGTCGGATGCTCGGAATCCTTGGGGGCTTCAGGGCTGTTCGGTTGCAGGGAAGCTTCCAACTCTTCGCGCCTGGAAATTTGGGGCTTTGGGGCTCTGGGTTCGAGGGTTTGGGGTTTAGGCCTTCGACTCTGGGGTTCAGGGTTCAATTATAAGGTTTCGGTGTTTATTAGGGTTTAGGGTTCTGGATTTACATGGTTGATAATAGGTTTAGGGTTTAGGGTTTAGGAACCCACCTTAAACCCTTCGGGGTTAGGCTTCAGGTAAGGGGAGCGGGGGTCGAGGGCTTGAAGGCCTGTAGTGAGGCATCGGAGTTTCAGGAGATCGGGTTCTCAGGACTTCTGGATCTCCTCAAGGGATCCGGGGGAGTCTTAAGTAAGGTAGCTGTAGCGATATAAGTAAGGTCGTCATAAGCAAGGTAGCTGTAGCGATATATCCACTTAAAGCCCGAGTGAAGAAGCTTGCTAGGTCTCCTGCACCTCTGAGTTTGTTTATATGGTTTAGGGTTTAGGGTTTCAGCACTCACACTCGGACTTGCCTAGGCGAGGGTTCCTGGTACCTCGAAGGGTTTAGGGTTTCGGGTTTAGGGGTGTGAGATCTCTCATTGCAGTAGTGCTTCTAAGCCAACAACAAGCATACATCAAAAGCATAGAAACGGCTTTCTGGTGGCAGCTGTGACCCCTGCTAGTAGGCCTGCTGCTAAGAAAAACTCAATGACTAAGAGTTATGTTGCGGGCTTCTTCGTGGCCCTAGTCTCTATAAGTCCTAGGTAAACCCTCAAAACACAGGCCAGAAACCTGTACTTTTTGGTGAAGCGGCGGATACCGTGAACTCTAGCGGCACACCTTGATTTCCGGGCGTCCGGACAGATACTGTCCTCTAAGAACCCGGCCAAGAAACAAGGCTCATCGCTAAGGGCATCCTTCGATGGATCTTTCTTGGGTTCTGCAGCATGATGGCTTTGAACTTAGCTTCTCGCGCGTGCATTGACCAGTCACGAGCTGTCAGCAACTTATCCGGACAATCACCACCCAAATTTAAATCATCATCAGAAACAAGACTTATCACGGCAGCAACGATCATCATGACCCATATTATCTTCATGATTCTTTTCATGGAAACCAATGCATCATCATGTCAAGAATCACGATTGCCATGGCTGTCACTGTCTTATTAAATGCCACTGCCGCCAGTGTCTACGTCATCCCCACCACCGAAATTCAGGACTACAGGTACTCGTTGATATGTGAAATACTTCTACAATAATATACGTACACATCTATATCTAAAGTTACCTACCTACCTACCTACCTACCTACCTGCCTGCCTGCCTGCCTGCCTGCCTGCCTGCCTGCCTGCCTGCCTGCCTGCCTGCGTGCCTGCGTGCGTGCGTGCGTGCGTGCGTGCGTGCGTGCGT